TTCTCAAACTTTGGTCATTTGCTTATCATCCCTATGATTTCTGCCATATCTGAGTAGCCCTTGCACTATGAGTTACTTATGATATTTCTTTTATCAACTTAAATATCCACTTTAATCTAACATTTGTTTTTTAGTATACCTCCTTTGTACAGATGACAAAAATTACATAATTTGAAAGACGTTAGACATGTGCCACTTAGAATTATCTTGTATAACCACCTTACTTCGGAAAACACTGTTATAGTAGAAAATCAGAGACATTCAACGGCTCATAGTGCAAAAAATTTTATCTGAATTGAACATTTCTCTAACGAATTGGACAGAAAATAAAAATCCATACCTTTAGTCCTAAGAAAAAAATCAAGACTCATCCTTTACTATATTTATCCTTTGACTCAAAAAGGGGGAAGAAATTTCATTTCTTTGATATGTTTTTTTTGCAATAAAAATGCATTTTTATTACACAAATAATACATAATTCATTTTTCATTTATTTTTTTTTTTTGAGACTGAGTCTCACTCTGTTGCCCAGGCTGGAGTATGGCGGCATGATCTCAGCTCCCTGCAACCTCCGCCTCCTGGGTTCAAGCGATTCTCCTGCCTCAGCCTCCCAAGTAGCTGGAAGCTCCTGCCACCACGCCCAGCTAATTTTTGCATTTTTTGTAGAGACCGAGTTTCACCATGTTGGCCAGGCTGATCTCGAACTCCTGATCTCAAGTGATCCGACTGCCTCGGCCTCCCAAAGTGCTGGGATTATAGGCATGAGCCACCATGTCCGGGGCCCATTTTTCATTTATAAGGCTAAAATATTAGTGAAGACTAAACAACTCTTTAACCATCACTTCCCCACTCCCTATTAGGGTTAATCTGAGTTATGAATTCAGAATATATTCTTCCAGACTTCTTCCTTTGCATCTGGCCACTGTAATCTCTGTTCAGCTTAATGTTCCTCTAATGACTGTTCGCAGATTTCCTTAAATACCAGGAACCAATAAATCTTCCACTCTTTGTCGAGGGCTCTGAATGTTGAAGTACACCTTTAAAGCTCAGGAAGTTTATAATTCTGGTTAAGCCAAGACCTTGAGATCAGACAGAAGTGAAGGATGAGGGTGTTCTCCATCTTCTGAGTCTGGGCACAGCCGTGCACATGCATATGGTCTGCTAGATCCCCATGACTATGTCAGGAACTTTTAAAAGTCCCCTATGAACATTTCATTTCCCAGATCTTCAAGTTTTTAGCTAATTTATTTGCCTCAATGGGTACTGCAGCCTAGGCAGCTGCCGGGTTAAACAACTGCGCTGATTATTTTTCAACAAGTACCCTGGGTATTAGGCTTTTCCCATGGAGCAGCTGCCAGTCAGTTTAAATAATAACACCCTACAAATGGCACCTTTTCCAGGTAGCTGTGAGGTAGGATAAATAGTGACAACGCTCTGGGGAGGAGACATCTTGAAGAGCTCCAAACTGCCTCTCCTGGCTGCAGGGGTGCTGATTCCAAGACTACGGCAGAGCTTTGGAGAGCTGGGATAGAGGAGATTGAGTTAAGATGCCATAAAACCAGCTGTTCTTACCAAGGTTCAGATGGTTGCAAACCTGTGGTTAATTTCCAAAGTTCTGGAAAAGTTGATTCCGGTACTTTTTTGCTAGTGTTTTTGTTGTTTTTATGGAGAAGTGGATTTATGGAGGTCCTCATTCCATCATTTTGGATGTCCTGTACATGTTTACTCACCTTTGATGGAAATATTAGAAAAAATAACATCCATATCCATGCCAGAGATTTAGTGAAAAATGTGATCAAGAGCAGAACAAAATGCCCCAACCAACAAGAGCAGCCAATATTCATCTCCATTGATAACCTCCACATCAACAAGACCTAGAGTTGCCAGGTCTTCCAACTTTCAGTAGAATCTGGAATTCCAGTATTTTATGTAAAATTTCCAAATTTTAAAATACTGACAACTACTTCATTAAAAAAGAAAGTAAAGTATTGCACTGAAAATAACACACTTGAGGGAAAAGATTATGGGTTGAAGCAGCAAGTCTATGAGCCACATCACTGTTCTGCCAACTTTTGGTTACCAAATTAGGTGAGTTCAATTCAACGAATCTTTTTTAGCTTCTAATATGGGCCAGAAAATGTGCTAGATGCTGCAAAGTTAAAATGAGGCTTGTTGCCCCATGCACACACCCCCTTCCCCCAGCGTTTGAGGTACTAGTCTAGTAGTGAAGGTGGAAATTACATTTTAGTTGTCACCCTGAATAAAGGGTATCTGTAGACAGATTTAACTATTAATTTTAAGTGGCTCAAGGCAAAATATCCTGAGAGATTTGTTTAAAAGGGTCATTTTTACAATCCTCCTGTTTAGGGAAGTGTATGTGTACGCTCAGGTCAACTGGGGATGGGGAAAGGGTAAGAACATGACAGTTGCATAAATCCTTTTGTGGCATAGGGTCAGAGAGCCAACTTCTGACCTAAATAAAAAGCACTGGAAACAGAATCCCATGGATGCGTCTTTGATTTATTCACTTATATGGGAAAGCTCATCCTCTAGTAGCTTCCTGAGAAAAGGTGCATGGGAGGCAAACTTGTGAGATTTTCCAATTTAAAAAATGTCTTCATGGTACCTTACACTTGACTGAGAATAGGCAGGCAAGAAATCTATTTTATTTCTTTCAAAATCTTGAAGCAATTTCTTCACTTATGTCTAACGCCACTCTTGATTCCCAATCCTTCTATGTGACCAGCTTTTCATGTCGGGGAGGTTCTCTTGGTCCTAGTGTTTTGAAACTTCAAGATGGCGCGCCCTGGTACAAGTCCTATTTTCATCCATTGTGTTGTGTGCCCCCATACCCTGTTATTCTAGAAACTCATGTGTTTAATGATTTCCTCTCTTCTATTTTCTCTGTTCTTTCTGGAGTTCCTATTATTTGAATATTGAATGGTCCTGGTCTGATCCTAATCTTTTCATTTCTTTTTTTCTCCATTTTTCGGGTTATTTGCTAAATTTCAGCTTCCAACCCCGGTACTGAATGTTTAATTTCCAAGAACATTTTCTTGTTAACAGTTCCTTTTCTACAGTTTTCTATCTTTATTCTACAGATGCCTTTTCTTGTCTCTCTGGAGATATGACAGTTTTTTGAAGCTGCTTCTCCGTGCAGTCTCTGATTCTTCCAAGTTGTTGGTTTGGGCTTTTCATCCATGTTAGACACTTCCATCAGATGCCAGGTTATCACTGGTTAAGATGACAGACTAAAAAGCTGATAGGGGATTGCTGATTGAGTGTTTCACTTTTCAGCAATGATTCTCAATTTCATATACACAGTGAAATCACCTGGGGAGCGCTCAAAAATATTGATCCCTCTGCAATACTCATTTTATCGGTGTGGGGTACGATAATTTTGAAAAGCTCTCAAGGTGATATTAATGTACAGGTTGAAAAGTACTACCCAAGAGTGCTCTGGCTGAGCCATTTCATTGAAGATCTTTAGATGTTTTGTTGTTGTTCTCAGCCCATGGGGTTCTTTGTAATATTCTTCTGTATGCCTAGGTTCACTAATGTGCTTCTGATATGGCGCCTTCATTCTCAACTGTGGATAGTGTCCCCCAGTCCAGGGACTTTCTATTTGAACCTTCTCCTGAGGATAAACCTCTAGGCTTCTGCAAGAGTGATGGAGGTGGGAGGGGAGGAGGGACATTTTTGTGCAGCTGAAAAAAAAAGGGGGGAGGGATTTTATGGATCTAGCTGCATTTTAAACAGCTTTCAACCAATACTATTTTAGCCTCTTCTCTCTCTTCACTATCACTTCAAAGGGATATGTTGCTGTCAATTTTTGAGCCTTTAGGATATCGGGCATTGAGAATAAAAAGATTGATGCTCATTTTCTCCTCTGCCAAATTAGAATTAACTTTTGTTGATCATATTTCCAAAATTCTGGTGCCAATAACTCCTCTCTTTCTTCCCAGTCTTGAGGGTTGAGTTGTGACTTAAAAAAAAAAAATTCTTTATTTTCAGTGGTGTCAGGAGCATACAAAATTTGATGTGCTCAATTTGTCATCTTTACCCGGAAGAATAATTACCATGCTTCATATAAGTGAGGTTCAATAAAGTTATAGTTTTTTTTACACATTTTCCTGAAAAATAAGAGAGAGAGTGGGAATTCCTACCAAGACAATCTAAAATCACAAAACCATGGCCAGAGCAGGAACACTGTGTTTTATTGCTGTTGTTGTTGTTGTTGAATGAGACCTGCAGGAAATGAGATGAACACTCTAGAGTTTGTCAGGGGAGAGGAAGCACCCAGTGTGCCAGGTGAAACGAGGGCGATCTGGACTCCTGAGTTTTGGTAGGCAGATAAAGTATTAGGCAAAAAGGTACGTTATCCACAGAGACTCTGATAAAGGATTAAACTGGCAGCCTATATAGTCCACAATCACCTTTTAGTTGGCCCATGAAGGAAATCTGGATTTTTAGCTTCTTTTGAAACATGGACATAGGTGATTGTGGCTCACAGTCCTGCAAGGCCTTGGTCAGCAAAAGCTGAGCTGCTGCCTCTGTGGAAGGCCACCTGCCTGGCCTCCAAAAACACATGAATTTTCAACTTCTCTGAATATGCTTTAAGTATTTAAAAAGCAAGAATAAGGCTGGGTGCAGTGGCTCACACCTGTAATCCCAGCACTTTGGAAGGCTGGGGTGAGCGGAGATCATGAGGTCAGGAGATCGAGACCATCTTGGCCAACATGGTGAAACCCCATCTCTACTGAAATTTTAAAAAATTTTAAAAAATTAGCTGGGTGTGGTGGCGAGTGCCTGTAATCCCCAGCTACTTGGGAGGCTGAGGCAGGGGAATCACTTGAACCTGGGAGGCAGAGGCTGCAGTGAGCTGAGATCGTGCCACTGCACTCCAGCCTGGTGACAGAACAAGACTCCGTCTCATAAACAAAAAAAGAAAAGAAACAACAACAACAAAAGCAATCCTAGTCATGGCAGAAAAACCCTACTTAAGTCAGAAAGAATTAAAACATTTATTGGGCATAAATATATTACATATACACTACAGATACAGTTAGGTATTACATATAGCATAGTATTTGCAAAATCTATACATTAAAATTGATATGGCAGTTTTCATACAATGTATATGAAATAGTCTAAAATTTACAATACAGGAAAACATGATTTTCTTTTTCTCCTAGAGTTGAAAAGCTTGGAATGTATGTCCAACAGTGAGGTAAAACATTTTATCTTTCAATTTAAAGAATTGTGCAAGGATAACATTCAAACACATTCAATTAGGGCACTTCTCAATTTTGACATGAATACTGAATTACTGTAGCCAACAAAACAAGGTTAGAAAATGCCAACATTTAAAGTTGATAAGAACAAGGCAGAGAATATGCAGAAAGTCTCTTTAAAAAGTGTTCTTTTTCAACAATTTCTTTGAGGACAAAGGGCAGTTTGCTTCACATGACTGGAATTTCTTGTGCCAGGGATGAGTTTGACATACAGAGAAGAGTCAGAGCATCAGAAGGCCACTCATTCATTCCTCACATAGCAAAAGGGCAAAGAGATCAGGTTAATAGAACACTTTATTTTATTGTTCGTGTGTAATGGCAATATATATAGTTATATATCAATATCACATATACATATTTGTGATAGAAAACAGTGCCATAGAGAGTAATAATTTTCTGACTGAAGGAATATAATGAATACCAAATAATGGAGAGCAATAAAATAAAGTGCTGTCAGCTTTGTATTTCACACACTTCAGCTTCCTGGTGGTTAAATGATAGTATGAAAATCTCAAGAAGATCAAATATTCATATAGATTTTGGCCTAAAGTACTATTTACTTAAAAAAAATTCAACCAATTCAGAGAATTTCTTTATAGCAGCAGTTCTGAAGTGTTTCAAAAAAGAGACTTCCCCAACCCCCCGAGAGGGGGCTTTGTACTCAGTTGAATTTGCATTGCTTAAAAAATACCTCGCCCCGAAACACCTGCATGGAATTTTTTAGAAAATGCGCATGCTGTGTCACAGTGCGTCACAGCACATGTTTAAACAGGGGGCTGAGTTTTGGAAGGCCAGAACTTTGGCAGAAATATATTTACCTCGATGCCATCAGTTTGCAAAGCTAATTAAACTAATTGTTATAGTCAATAATAAAAAATACAGAACTCTCTAGTACTCACTACATCAATATAGGCACACAGAATAATTCACTCATCTCAGCATTTTCTTCCAAGAGATGATTATGGTTTTGGGGTACATGTAAACGTTTCAATCACTGATAATGGATTTCTTTTTTTTTTTTTTTTGGCATTTAATGCACTAGATGCTCTTATCTTTTAAAAACACAAGAAAATGTCAGAAGATTAATAATACTACAGATGTTGCCAAGGAACAAGACTGACCTAAAATTACAAAAGTATAAAACACAAAAATATAACATGCTACAAGGGAAAATTAGTACATAAGTACATTTAAAAATTTTTTTACAATAAATAAAGATTGCACTGTAATTGGCATTTAAAGTACTGTATGCAGAATATAGTATAAATAAACCAAAAACAAAATAATGTTGGTTTCCCCATGACTTTGGTATGGGAATATTATAAGCTAGTACAGGATACTGCATCTTAGACAACAAAGACCAAGCACAAAATAGCTATGATCAAGAAAAACCAAGTAGCAAAAATATACAAAAACAGAAGCAGGGGGATACACTGTGTCTGTTGCACCCTTTTGGAATATATTTGCACCTCCAACTCTTAAATGTCCCTGAGGTACTCGAACATTATGGACTTCATATAAATAATCCAATGACTTTGGGTTAAAATTGATTATCTCATGACTCAAAATAAACACATAAGAGTAACACTTTGCACTCCAATAGCACCTGTTGGTCAAATATCTCAAAGCACTTACAAACATAAGAATCCCCATTTTATTTTTATTTTATTTTTCATGCATGGGAAAACTGAGGCACAGAGAGGTAAAGTGACGTGTTCAGGTCACGCAGCAAGTTAGTGACAGATCCAGGGAGAGAATCTAGGCTCTTTGATTCCCAAACACCCTGTGTTTACCATCAAACACCATTCCCTCTCCAACCATGGCCAGGCAACCCCACAGACATAGGAACTACAAATTTAGATGACTCTCTTTTGGGTTTTATCAATTTTCATCTGCGGTTACATTAGTATTATGTGCACTGAATTAAGGTATTGAAATTCAATCACTTCATTGATACCTCAAAGAACAGCCTAAAAGGCAAATGCTTCAAAAATAATGAGCTGACACATAAGAAGACTGCTCACAATTAGTGTAAATCATGGACAATGGGCAGAGGCACTAAACTGTTGCCAGTTCTTGTCATATAATTCTGGTCAAACATAACAGAATATAATAACTCTAGTGATTAGAAGTAGTTATATACAAAGACAAACAAACAAGTTAAAGCAGCCTTTAAAATAGCTGAACAAGAAAACAACTAACTATTGCACAATGCCCTCTTAAAGTTACTGCTATGAATTGATGTGGTAAAATCTACAATGCTCCATAATTTATAGGTGCATTCTGCTTACTTGATTTCTTATACAGGCAGCTCATAGTGTTAAAATTATAAGAAATACAGATTATTAAAACATTTTAGATTAAAGTACACATTTTGATTTAAATGAGCTAAACACAGTTAAATAACTGAGTGACAAAATGGTTGTTTAGGGCAGTCTTATCTGAGTGAACATATCTTCTGTATGTTGCTGTTGCTGTGTGGTAATACTCTGACAACACTGAAATCCTAGCCCTGTAAGTACACACACGGTGATTCATGTTTACAGATATAGATGATCGAGACATAAGAAGTGACTGGTGAATATAAATTACTAAACTGTAACAACAAAAAAAAAAAAATCAAAGGCTTGCAAAAGACATCAGTGAAAACAGAATGAAGGTAAATCTGAAAATTTAAAGGAAAACATAAGAAAGCTAGCTTTTGGTATCTGGTATGCTTTTCTTCTTTTTTTTTTCTTTTTCTTTTTTCTTTCTTTTTTTTTTTTAAAAAAAAAAAAAAATCCAGTTTAACCTCTTCCTAGTTTTGCATTTCAAAAAGGTGCACCAAAACACTGACAATTTTTTTCTAGCTAAATCTGTAAAACAGAGTATATAAATCAAAGAACAAAAGGGCTTTAAAAAGGGGAGTATCTGAATAAATGTGTGTATTAAAATGTGTAGCATTAATTCATACCTCTAGTTTTGTTGGGTTTACTTCATTAAGAAGTACTGTAATATAAAGGCAAATAAAATGGACAAAGTTGCAAAGCCAAGCACAATGATGGCTGCAAACTGTTCATCAGTAGGCATCATGCTCTTCATTTTGGGATCATCTAAGCTCCCCATGTCCCCTGTAAGCATGACCTCACTTCGTTGTAATACAAAAGCCGCAGAGGGGCTGAAGGCTCCGCTTAGCTCCTGAGAGGTGTCTAAACAGCGACGACATGCACATACGCGGAACCTGTAGTCTGTGTTGGTCTGGAGGCCTGAGATTTGGAATGTGGCTTCTTCTCCCTTGTACACCTTCAGGAAAAGAAAGAGTTCTAGTTAATTAATTTATAGCGACACTGTTGTCTCTAGAATAATCTTGGTTTAGATTCACTCCATTCACTCTTGGTTTACATTCAGTTTCACTCTTTCATAACAAAAATGATATAAAAATGTATTTCTCTCAATCTGTATTCACACCATAAAAAGGGTATTCCAACACATTTTGAATGAAACAATATAAAATCCAGTGACTCAAACTTTGACAGAAGGAGACAAGGCACTGACTAGAAATGCAGCTCACATTTTAAGTAGTAAAGATGCATCTCGCTAAATTTTATAATTTAGGTCGGTGGTCCCCAACCTTTTGGGCACCAGGGACTGGTTTTGTGGAGGCCAATTTTTCCACGGACAGGGGTAGTTTCGAAATGAAATTGTTCCACCTCAGGTCATCAGGTGTTAGATCCACATAAAGAACGCACAACCTAGATCCCTTGTATACACAGTTCACAATAGGGTTCATGCTCCTATGGGAATCTAATGCCTTACTGATCTGACAGGAGGCGGAGCTCAGGCAGCAATGCTCCTGCTCGCCACTCACTTCCTGCTGTGTGGCCTGGTTCCTAACAGGCCACTCACCAGTACTGGTATCCGGCCTGGGGCTTGGGGACTCCTGATTTAGACTATAAATCAGAAGATGTCATAATACAAATAGCTCTATGTTTTTGGTTCCAAGAACAAAGTTAACATTTTAAAATGGAAACAATTAAAAACTGAGCAAACAAAATGGAAATTTTCCAGCAGGATGATTTTTTGACAACTGGATACACTACAAACGCCTCCCCTCAAGATATCCCACCTCCACCCCAAGAGGTAGAGGTAGACACTATTCTGACTTCTAATTCTGTAATTAATTTTGCTTGTACTAGGAGTTCACATAAATGGAATCACGCAGAACACACTCTCTTGCGCCTATGAGATTCACTCATGTTATCGAGCTATTCGGCAGTAGTTCCTTATGACTATACCTCAATTCCTCCATTTTCTTTTCAGTGGACATTTGGGTTCTATCCAGCTTGGAGGTTTCGTATAATAAAAATGCTATTAATAAGAATGCTATGAATGTTTTTGTTCAAATTTTGAGAACTTATTTTTCTGGGTAAATACAAGGAAGTGCTGGGTCATAGAGTAGTTCTATAGTTAACTTCACAAGAAACAGTTTTCCCAAGAGATTGTATCCCTTTGCACTCCCATTAACAGCATGAGAGTCTGAGCTGCACCACATCCTCATCAACACTGATCATCAGTCTTTTCTGTTTTAGCTATCCTAGTGGGTGTGAATGGTACCGCGACTGCATTTCTGTGATGCTTGAAGATGCTGCGCATCTTTTCACATGCTTACTGGTTGTTCATGTACCTTCTTCTGAGAACAGCATGTACAAGTCTTTTGCCTATCTTTAATTTGCAATTTGCTTGACTTTTATTAATTTGCAGGGCCTTGCTATGTGATCGGGATATAAGTCCTTAGATAGATAATATGTGTTGAGAATATTTTCTCCCAGTTTTCTGGCATGCCTAATTGTTTTCCTGAGGAATTTTTTTGGATGTAGCCCACTTTATCACAAACTAACATTTAAATAATTTGGTGGTCTGTCTTGAGTTTCCATCTCTGTATGACAAATCTGATTTCTTCTATTAAGAATCTGGGGTGTTTTCTTCCTGTTTATTAACACTAATCATCAAGAGGCTTACTATTATAGAAACCTGAAAATGACCAGTTTACTTAGACATTATCACATTTTGGTTGACTGAAACTAACAAAAGTCTCTGAAGGGGCATGGAGGAAGAAGGTCTCACAAGGTTCTTCTAGCAAAATGAAACCAATCCTCAAAAAACTTAAGAGGAAATGATAATCAGATTAAAATTGCATAAAAATTTATGGCTTATATTAGAGTCAATGGATAGAAAAAATAGCTGAAACAAAACCAAATCAATAAGAGATTTGGCTAATTAAAAAAGAAAATAAAATTAACAGAACTCTATCTGAGTAGCACTGAGTTAATACCTGTGAGGTGCTTAAAATACACCTGGTATGAAGTTAGTGCACAGTAGGAGTTAGCTATTATTGTCATTGATACTTAGAACTGAAAAATAACTCAGCAACAAACTATTTTAATAAACTTGTCAATTTTGTCAAACACTTTCTTTGCATCTAATGAGATAATTATATGGTTTTTGGCTTTCATTCTGTTAATGATGTATCACATTTGTCGATTTGGGTACACTGAATCATCCTTGCATCCCAGGGATAAATTCTACTTGATCATGGTGGATGATCCTTTAATGTGTTGTTGAATTTGTTGAATTGGGTTTGCTAGTATTATATTGGGGATTTTTACATCTATATTCATAAAGGATATTGGCCTGTAATTTATTATTATTTTTTGTAATGTCCTTGCCTGCCTTTGGTATGAGGATAATGCTGGCCTTGCAAAAAAGAGTCTGGGGAAGTATTTCCTCCTCATTTACTTTTTTGAAAGAATCTGAGAAGGACTGGTATTAGTTATTTAAATATTTGGTAGAGTTCAGCCATGAAGCCATCAGGTCCTAGGGTTTTCTTTGATGGAAAACTTACTGACTTCATCTCCTCACCCATTGGTCTATTAGATTTTCTATTTCTTCAGTGTTGGTAAGTTGCATACATCTAGAAATTTATACATTTCTTCTAGGTTATCCAATTTGTTGGCATATATTTATTCCTAATAGTCTCAAATGTTCCTGTGTATTTCTGTGGTATCTGATTTTGTGTCTTCTTGGCTTAGCTAAAGATTTGTTGATTTTCTCTTTTCAAAAAAAACAACTCTTAGTTTGGTTGATCTTTATACTGTTTTTCTAGTCTCCTTCGTTTATTTCTGTTTCCGTCTTATTTCTTTCCTTCTGCTAACTTTGGACTTAGTTTCTCCCTCCCCGCAGTTCCGTGAGGTATAATGTTAGGTTGGGATCTCTCTTCCTTTTTGATGTAGGTGTTTAAACTTTGCTTTTAGAACTGCTTTTGCTGTATCCCATACATTTTTTTTTTTTTTTTTTGAAACAGAGTCTTGCTCTGTCGCCCAGGCTGGAGTGCAGTGGCACAATCTTGGCTCACTGCAAGCTCCACCTCCCGGGTTCACGCCATTCTCCTGCCTCAGTCTCCCGAGTAGCTGGGACTACTCGCGCCCGCCACCTCATCTGGCTAGTTTTTTGTATTTTTTAGTAGAGATGGGGGTTTCACCGTGTTAGCCAGGATGGTCTTGATCTCTTGACCTTGTGATCCACCAGCCTCGGCCTCCCAAAATGTTGAGATTACAGGCGTGAGCCACCGCGCCCAGCCGTATCCCACACATTTTAATACGTTGTATTTCCATTTGCCTCAAAAGATTTTTAAACTTCCATTTAATTTCTTCATTGACCCATTTGTTGTTCAGAAGCATGTTTTTTATTTCCATGCATTTGTGAATTTTCCAAAATTCCTTCTGGTATTGATTTCTAGTTTCTTAACACTGTGGTCTGAAAAGACACTTGATATAATTTCAGGCTTCTAAAATTTGCTGAGGCTTGTGTTGTGCCCTAACATTTGATCTATCCTGGAGAATGTTCCATGTATGCTTGAGAAGGATGTGTATACAGTTGCTGTTGGATGAAACGTCAATTAGGCCCATTTGGTCTACAGTATTGTTCAAGTCCAATGTTTATTAATTTGTTCAAGTCCAATGTTTATTAAAGTCTCCTACTATTATTGTATTGCAATTTATCCCTCCCTTCAGATCCTTCAATATTTTATGTATTTAGGTGCTTCAATGTTGGGTGCATACATATTTATAACTATTATATCCTCTTGAGGAATTGATGCTCTTATCATTATATAATGTCCTTTTTATAGTTTTTGACTTAAAGTCTATTTTGTCTCATACAAATTTAGCTATCCCTGCTTTCTTTTGGTTTCTATTTGCATGGAGTAATCTTTTTCCAACCTTTCACTTTTAGTCTATGTGTGTCCTTAAAAGTGAGGTGACCCTTGTAGGTAGCATACTGTTGGGTCTTAAAAAAAAAAAATTCATGGCTGGGCACGGTGGCTCATGCCTGTAATCCCAGCACTTTGGGAGGCCGAGGTGGGTGGATCACCTGAAGTCAGGAGTTTAAGACCAGTCTGACCAACATGATGAAACCTCATCTCTATTAAAAATATAAAAATTAGCCGTGTGGGATGGCATATGCCTGTAATCCCAGATTACTTAATCTCAGATACTCAGGAGCCTGAGGCAGGAGAATCACTTGGACCTGGGAGGTGGAAGTTGCAGTGAGCCGAGACTGTGCTACTGCACTCTAGCCTGGGAGACAGAGTGACACTGTGTATCAAAAAAAAAAAAAAAAAGAAAAGAAAAAGAAAAAATGCATCCAGTTACTTAATGTCTTTTTATTGAAGAATTCAATCCAAATAATTCTGCCTATTAATACAAATACCCTAGAAATGAATTTCCAACAAATTCAACTTTGCCTGAAAAACTTGCCAGCTATTTAGTTAGTGGGAATCTATAAACGTCTCTACTACATGTTTCTAAAGCCCACTGTGTAAACTTCCACCAAGAAACAGGACATTCCATTAGTGAATACAAGTGCACTGGACATGAATTTAGTGTTGGGTCCAGACTGAAAGACAGCAAAAGGATCTTATGATTTGGAATAGAGGCCAGGCTTCCAATGTTCACCTGGTAGTTACCCTTTTAAAGAGATTCCTCCCTCATTTTCAAACTTTACTTCAAGCATCTTATTATTATATTTTTGCTTAGTGACTAAACTCCAGACAACCAGTTCTGCTTACTACTTATACTTTTCCAGATTTATCTTGCTTTTGTTATTCTTTTTATAAGATTTTAAGCACATTCCTCCTGGTGAGTTATCTTGTTTCTTAAAATTGTGGCATGTGCCATAGCTGTTTTGAGTTACAAATAGCCTAGGCTGCAGCAACTAAGAAGAGCTGTAAGCAAACCCCTCGCAGT